TTTACTTAAGTACTACACACAAGTTATATTTTATTTTTATTTATATAAATTGTTTTTCGTGCCAAGCAATTAAACGACTTATCCCATTTTCTCGTTAGGATTTTCATTAGCACTTTTACGTACCAAGTAAGTTAACTTGGATATTTATTTGAGTCCATAAAAGTGAGTCACATAGGATTCGCTTATTATTTCACGTGCGTTATAAATTTTAAAACTCAAAAACTTGTTTGGCTAATCCCTCTCGGACCTAAATCTCGGTGCTAAGCAAGCTCGTAACACTATGGGTGTTACAATGTCTATCATGTAGGGAAATTTGTACACATCTGCAGAGTTAACTAAATCTATTCGAATAGTCACGTCCTTAGAATGGGCAAATGCTAGGATGTGATACTATGATTAGACTTCCATAACTATCTGATAAGATGTATTTTACTAAATTGGTAACCATAATGAGCAACGGAACTGGTGAGACTGGTAATACTCTGTCAGGGCCCAAACTATAGTCATAATTACTATACCACACCACTTTTACCCTTACCAATACACCTCAACTACTTCAACCACTATAACTCACCTCCACCATATAGCCTTCCCTATCCACCACTCCTCCACCCAAAGTTTAGGGCTTGCTGAGTACTTTATGTACTCAACCCCCTCCATCTATATTTTTAGGAGTTAAGCCACAAGAGGACATACCTGGGTGGAACATCTGGAGCTACGCAAGGATGGGATACCCAGAGTATACTCGAGGACGGAGTCGTACGAGAGAGTTACGCTAGGACTACGACGATTGCAAACACGCTATAGGAATAAGTCTAGGGTTATGTCCGCACTCCACGTTGCCTGTAGGAATGGAGCCACGTCGACATAGGACCGTTGTCTTAGAACTCTGATATACGATATAAGGCCAGTGGCCCAAGCTATGTAAACCCGAACCATATAGCATGTTTTCCCCATTAGCAATAAAAGTATAGGTTTTTTATATCAATCTTGTTGAGTTGTGCGTAACAGCTACTGATCCAGGGACTGATACATATGCACAGTGGACCCTAGGATTAGGGGGGCCGACACACTGACCCACATAGAAGGATCAACAGAGTTCATATTGAAATATTTCTCACAGTTGGAACCAAAGGCGTGGGTTCTCACCATTGAACTTGTTGAAGGGAAGCTTAGGCAGACGACCAGTATTGGGGTTGTGCCGGTGACAATTGGGTGATGGTGATTGGAACATAGGCTGGTGAATTGGTGGTCTTGGAGGTATGGTGATTGGTGGTGGTGGTGGGAGATATGGTTGGGGAGGAGTTTGGCAAGGCATGGCAGACGACACAGGTTGAAACTGTAAGGAAGGAGCGGCAGACGACACAGGATGAAACTGTAAGGAAGGAGCTGGAGGAGGGTCGTGAAGCTTACCTGTGACCGGGACATTGCTCAAAGTCATGACTGACCCAAACCCAACATCCCGATTAGGAGGTACAACGTAGTGCCCACTGGGCGAATCGACGGGCGCGCCGGCCGGAGCACGAGCGGGCGTCGTGGAGGAAGAAGCGTCGACGCTGAACCAATGCGGCTGGGCGTTGAACACCATGTGGTCAGGCGCCTGGGAGAGCTTCTTTACCTTGATCTTCAAATCATCCACGAGGGCCTCGATCTCCAGACGCCAGGAACCGAGATCCGTGGTGGCGACCTCGAGGGCGGTGACGCGGTCGTTGCTGTCGATGGGGGGCTTGCCGCTGCAGAGAGCTTCCAGATCGGTGACCCGCTTGCCGATATCGGAGGCGAGGTCGGAGCAGGTGGATTCGAGGACGGCGAAGCGCTTGTCGATGACGGCGGTGCGGTAGGCGCAGGCGCGGTCGAGATCGGCGAATCGGCCCTTCCATTGCTCGTCGTGGGCGTCGAAACGGCGATTGAAGTCGTCCTTCGACTTCTGGATCTCGTTGAGGATGACCTTGAGTTGTGAATCCATGGCTCCTAGGGTACGGCGGAGGCGGGTGAAGTGCTCGTGGTGGATCTCGTGGGGTTCCAGCTCGATGGGGATGTGCGCGCCGCCGATCACAACGACCTCAGCACGGACCTACAGGATCCGCGAACCACACCGAAGCGAGGACGCAGATCAACTAGCCGTCGGGGATTACGTTGCCGGATCAAAGCGGAGCGAACAGGGAAGTCGAGCAGGATCGAAGGAGGCGAAATCCGATACCAATTGTGAGCAGGTGGGAAGTTCCTTGCTCAGGAAGAAGAAGAACAGGAATATATGACTGGAATATAGATATACTGAATTGTACTGAAATGTAAACTAAACGGATAAGTGCTTGGTAAATGAACTATGACATATTACATTCCAGTCTGCTCTATCTCTAGCATACTCAGGTACTTATACTACTATGCCTATGCCTTCCACTCTGGGCCGGACAGCCTGACGTTGGGCCGGCGCTCGCGGACGGCCCGGGCCTGCTCACTTATAGATGCTTCGTCAGAGTGTATCACTGGAGCCATAGAGGAAGTGCTGACAGAAAATGACATGAAGATGTGGCTAATTGGGTATGAGCCGTGCTTTGCGTACTAAAAATCTACAGGTAGATCTGAAAGGACACTGGACAACTTTATGAATCATCACTTCTGTGCAGAAGATCCAAAAAGATAGTTGGAATTTATTGCGCAATTTTTTTTTAATGATAGCATGTCCAGATAAAGACAAACCTGAATGGCTGCAAACATATGATATCTGCCATAAATTGTCATGAACCTGTTCGGCTGGGGCTGAAACGATTGTATACGATCGTGGATTATTACTGCTGGCTGGTTTGGTGTGAGAGAAAAATACTATTCTGGCTGAAAATTTACGATCGTTTACGACCAAGCGAACAGGCTGATTGTTGTTGGTTCCTCGAACTGTTCCTTGTCCTAAGAAAAATATCTTGATAACTGTCCATTGTCCTAAGAACTGTGTCCATTTATTTTCTTATTATGATTGGGGAATATAGGAGCATATTTGGAACATTATCATGAAACATTGATAGGGATAATTCTCCAGATTCACAATCTCATATTTATTTAAGTTGGCCAACCCAAAAGTTGAAGTAGGTTTCTGAAAAGAAAATAAAGAAAAAACACAGGACAGATATCTTAGACAGTGGGAGAGTCTTCGACAACAAAACACAAACACCGACCCAGGTAGCAAGCTTGATTCAACAAGTAATTATGCTATATGCCATGGTCCATGAGTCAGAACATGTAAATAGCTAGTAGGTAACATAGCGACAGTTTGAGACTGCAATTGCAGTGCTGTTTTTTCTTTCTTCTTTTAAGTTTCTACCGTTTCTGTTAGCTAGGAGTATAACAAGTATGTAAACCTATTGTACTGTTCGTTTTCACCTCTACTTAATGCAAAGGCAGAGCACCTGCCGTTACATGCTCACAAAAAAAAAAAATAGGTTGGACTTGCCTTCGTCGACGTCCTCGGCAATTTCCTGCTCACGGTTAGGGTCGGGTAAGGGCTCAAACTCACGGTACTGTTCCAAACTCCTCCTGGCCTCCAAGATCCTCGTGCTCATCCTCGGTCACTCCGTTCGCTAGAACACGCAAACAACACAAACGCAAAATAAAACAAATTTCGATGAGACTTCAGAGTGTCTGTTTGTGCGCAGCGCGTTCGTGTGCTTCTCAGGCTTTGTTCGCCATGGGCAGCTACTGGAGCTCGGAGCAAGCTCGATATAGGTAGCCTGAGGACAAGGTGCAGCTTGGGAAGGAAGGAGGAGGTGCTGAAGGTCCTCACTACTACAGTACTACTCACCTTAGTCGATTGTAGCCCGGCAGAGGAGATTGGCCGGACGACTCGCTTACTGGAAAACAGAAGGAACAGAAGGATGGTGGTTCAGCAACTCAGTGAGCCCGGCAACTTGGTGGTGCGGTGGAGGACATCCATGACGTCCCCTTTTATAGGCGTGGGAGAGGCATACGCGCCGTCTTCGATTCACAGCCAACAAAATTGGTGGGAAAAAAAAATACTGTGCTTCAATTAGAACTAGAATGTATAATGCAGTCTTGGGCCATAAAGTGGGTTAGAGGCCTAAAGGATGCAATGAATCAGTCCAACTTGCATAAAGAGGAAGAGGAGTTTCACCTGGAGGCATATTTTTCCTTTTCCCTTCCTTTCAATTCATGTGTAGCCCACCAGTGAGCTTGTGCTGTTGAGCAGGAAGGACCCTGACAAGTGACACGTGATGGTGTATTATTCTTCTAGAGCTGTAGTGACAGTAATCGAGTTATGGAAACAGAGTACATCACGATCACGAGTTGTGCAATGATAAAGCAAGCAGCAGATCATTTTTTATGTGCTGCACTTTCATCTTCAAGTATCAATAACCTAGTAGTTTGTGCAATGCATGATCATCAGATATGACATATCCAGGTCAAACAGAAAGGATCAATGGAAACATCTCCAGGTCCATAATAATAATAAAGAAAAAGTAGGAAGACAAGAGAAGGAGCTAGTCTGTCACCAGCAGTATAGGACAAGCAAAGTGGAAAACAAGAAAAGTGCTGCACAGAACATTTCTCAGCACCAGCACCAATAGATTAGTTTGAGAGGACTAAAATGATATCAATTCTTTTGCAATTCTTCTATTCATCGGAAGTTACAGCACCTGTGCAATCCATGATAACATATTTCTCCATTAAAGCAGGAATGTTTTTATGCCAACATACTTGGATAAATTATGTAACTCAACATTTCAATCAAGCAGAACCATTTCTTATTTAGAATCTGGAGAAATTTCTTAAGAAGGTGAACCACGATTATTTTCGAGTTTCTGACCATACTGTTGTCAAGCAGCGCTCATATTTCACAAGGGTGTGCTAAGAAGATAAAAGATGCAGTAACAAAAGGTTACAGGGATTCAAGGGAGAGAGAGGGTCTATCATATCCACAAATTGGGGGTGAACTGCGTCAGCTTCATTCTAATCATAAATCCATGCTATTTACAAGTTTGAGCCAAGATTCATGCGTCTCCCTTGTTCATCTCTGAAGGTATAGCTGAAGCTTTGCATATTGGACACCAGTTCTTCTGTCTAAGCCATTCGTGAATACAGCACACATGGTACTGATGTTCACATTGCATTGTACCAATCTCTTCACCTTCCACGTATTCCTCCTGGAACATCAAGTCAGTGTCAGTCAGAATGCAGGCTGCAGAACAATAATCATCCAGTGTCCAGGAGACAGATGTTTATTTAGACAAGTAATTGCTGGGAATATGGCATTTCAAAAGGCAAACAACAAAGGAGATACATTGTTGGAACAGATACTACAGGTTTGAAAATGTGTGTTTGGTTGAGGGTGTTGAAGACCTGAAGCCATGAGTTCTATGTGCAACTTTCCACAACATCAGTATACTTTTGTTTCCTTGGCTTGTGTGCACCCTTAGTAATTCCAATTCATCACTACATAGCCCTCCTTCCAGTTAGCCTATGCCTTCTCCGTTTGTCAGGCAAGGCACTAATGCAGTCCCTTTCTTTCCCCAAAGAAATGAGTTGAACATATGAAGCATACCATCAAGTTAAAATTACACTGCCAATTCTAAATCAGAATTCAGAACAGCAATTGAACATTGAAATACTTGAGTAAAAAAAAAAAATACCTGACATATGCTACATTTCACATCATCTGCTGCAATCTTGTTCACATCTCTACCAGAATTTCTTCCTTCGTGTACGCTTTGGTTTACACACTTGGCAAATTGCTCTTCAGTAAGGGCAGTACTCACTGAGCCAATATGATCTTCCAAAGCAAGTAGTTCCTGAAAAAGAATATCAAAAGAGAGACAAATTACATATCAAAGAACTAAACACAAGCTTTTCCCAAGCCCCAAGGATATTTAATTCGAACAATAATAATGGAGCAAACATGTTGAAAGTAATACCTCATATGACATATTGTCGATATCCAATCTCATATCTTCGTGCTGATCGTGCAAATCAAGGCCACTTAAGAGCAGATTAGTTTCTAGCACCAGCAGTTGCTGCCATTTTTTTTATTCAGAATATATCTCAGTGCAAAAGTTGGTAAAGGAGAAAACAAAATGGACATCAAGATAAAAGGACAAACCTCATAAGTCAATTCATCATCATGTTCAATCATATCCAATGCTAGCAACGCCTACATACAGTAAACATGGCAAACATCACAATTTACTCCTTTGTCGGACAAAAATCAGTATCCTTTATATTGTACATAGCTTTGATTAATTTCATCATAAATGTTTTTTTTTCAAAAAAAATGACCACTAGGGAAAGACCTCCCCGAGGCATTGCATTAAGAAGAGAAGCTCAACACAGGATTGAGAAAAGAAAAGGGTCTGAAGGCGGACCGCCCTGAAACAAGCTGAAACCGGCATAACTCAGTTAGGGTCCCTTTGTTGTGAGACCCAGTATTTGAACCCTGTTTCACAACTGGACACCCTACCACCACATCACTAGTGTGTTCACATCGTAAATGAAAATTTAACAACTCAGAACATGTATTAAATAAGTTACAGAAACCAACCTGTGCAATACCTTCCATGTTTACCGCCTGTAGCCGTCTCTCTCCCCAAACATACCATGGAACATCCGTTGGGGGCTTTCCTCAGTACGAGACGTAGATCTTCTCCTTGCTGTCTGACTAGTTGAGCCTTGACGATTAGATGAATAAATTGCATGAGGTAATTCTGCATAAAAGGGTCTTCCTAATCTCTCTGGGGGAGTACCATCCGTGTGAAAATGACCGCATTCTGGATGAACGCTTGCAACAGTCTCATGCAGAGCAAATACGCTGTCCTCTCTTTCACCTGGTATCATCCTCTCCCTGGCACGCAGAGTAAAAGGTCGTCTAGTCCTTATCAAATCTGTAGGATCCTGAATACTTCTGCTATCGGTCCTTGCTGTTTGTTGAGAAGCTAATTGTTCAACAGCTCTAGCTCTAGGACCAGTACTGCCAGGATAACTAGCACGCGGCTGACTTAAATTAGATTGTTCACTTATTCCCCTTGATCTTGAAGAACTTTCTGCATCAGAAGTTCTCTTCTTTGTAACTTCGACCCTCCTATCACGGACAGAATCAGATGAAGAACATCCTGAAGGCAGAACCTCAGATATTGAAGTGCAACCAAGATTTTTTAGGCCACGTCTCTGTGCTCCAGTAATGGTAGTGCCAGGGGCAGTTGATGACCTGACACCAGTAGTTTGTAAAGTATGCCGACGAACAAAAGTGGAAGCACCTTGATGTCTACCTGAATTCAATTCTTCTTTATCCTTTTGCCTATGTGCCATAGCATTCAATGCAGTATTTCTCGAATTAACTGCACGTGCAGAACTCCCTGAAGAACCAGAAACATCTAAAACTCCAAGATCATGCTCTTCTGGCAAGCTTCCTTCAGTAGTTGTTGAGGATGATGAAGCTTTTGATGTACCCTTCTGCATGTATGGATGCCCATCGCCAAATACAGAAGCTTTCTTGCCACTTTGTAGGCGTCTAACCTCAGTTCTTCTGTTACTGCTTTCAGCAATGTCTGTCTCTGCCAAAAAGGGCCGTTTTTGTCTCTCATCGCAATATTTTCTAACAGGAGCTTTTGAAGAGCTTACAGATGATGCCCTGGAGCCTGATGAATGAAATGGCCCTTGAAAATACCTTGGCTTCTCTTTATTTTCAGTGAACCGTGATTTTACAGGATTGAGATTTGAACTCTTCCCTGGCTGCTTGTTGTACTGGCTTGGCCTATCCTCATTGCTTTGATTTCTCAATGAAATGCCAGAACCTCTTCTAAGAAACCCAACTGGGGTAGTGGACCTACAGGAAGATTCGTCCATACCAAAATCCAGCAAAATGAACAGTCCAGAAGACTTCTGATAGAATTCTGCAACCCAAATTTGTAGTGGTTAGAGACAAAGAATTGGAACAAGAGGACATGAATAGACACGTGCAAGACATACCCAAAAAAATGAAGCAGCAGCACAGCACAGTTCAGAAAAGCAAACTTAGAGAAGGCAATGCTGCCAAGCTCCAAGAGAAACAAACAATCAAGTATGACCTACGGGCACCCTATGAGAGTTACATTTACCATTATATCACGTGATCCTACACACTTAGTGTATTGTAGCAATATATAGTAAGCTCAGTATCTTCCCATATCTGATCTTCATTCACCTTTAAGAGCAAAAAGTTAAAGGACATGATAAAGTTGTGTCCACAGCAAAAACGGACTAGGGAATGTTACCCGTATGCTATAGTACTCCTGTGATCGTGTCTGTCTCCTTCCCTCCAACGGAATGAAATTACCGCGACAAGGATCGAGAGGCCCATACAAATCACAGGTAGATTGTGATACAGTATAAGCAGAGAGAGAGCCATTTCTTGGGACCACATACCGAATAAAACAATTGGGGGCCATTGATCATGATAGCGCGTGGAAACATCATTCACCTATCTAGCATCCGATGCCTTCAAGTTCCCAAAACAGTAATAATTAAAAAAAAAACTAGTCTGCGAATGAACACCCACCAGTGCGTCGAATGGAAGGACGTTGCGATATACTGTATGGCACTACCAAAATTCTTCAATCGCAGAATGAATGCGGGCGGCCTCTGAACAGAGGACGGTGACCACGAAAATTCATTCCGCAACTCTACCTCTGAACTCTGAGACATGGGTATTACTTCCGATTTCCCGAGAGAAAACCTCCGGACATCCATCCACAAATCAAACAGGTGCACCGGACTGATGATTTGAATGAAAAGGAAAAAAAAAACAAATAAATCGCAACCGAGTACGCCAATCCAAAGGTGCAACCAAACCGCACCAAATAGCAGCAGTACCCAACCCAGGTCTGTACGGCCTTTTGATTCCAAAATCCCCAAATTCAAACATACCGAACAAGGAAATGATCAGAGGATTCCATCCCAACCTCTAGAACTCCTGTACTGCCTGCCCCCGCCCCACCTGGCCACCCCCCACATCAAATCAAAGGGCTCATCGCCATCCATGTAACCCGTACCTCGTGGAAGCCGAAGTCGAAGCGCAAGCAGAAGCGGCGGCGGCGTCGTGCCTCCCCCTCCTCGTCTCCTCGAGGAAATGGGAAGCCGGAGAAGACGGCAAGCAAACGGAGGGAGGATTTGGGCAGATCCCAGGCGGATTTATTTAGCGGCGTTAGCGGGTCGGGTTCGCAGGGAGGGAAAGGCGTGATCGCTCCCTCTCTCCGCGGGTTAACGGGGTGGCTCAGCCTCCACGTGGCGGCGCTGACTGGGCGCGGCGCGCACGCGTCGTCGTCGTGGACTCGCGGTGGGTGCGCCGTGCGCCCGTGACCCCGGGAGCTCACGCGCAGGCGAGGATGGATCGGAGCCGTTGGGACCGCGCCGTGATTCGTGCGGGACCTGGTTTCCCGCATCGGCAAGGAACACGCCGCACACGGGTTAAACGCCTGCCGCCGCGGGTCGGAAACTTCAGCGGCGCCGCTGTCTCTTCTCTGACGTCCGAAGAAACGAATCAGCGGAGCTAGGGGTTTCTCTGTGACTTATCCGTTTGGAATTTCATTTTTTGAAAGATACTTCCTCTAGTTCTAAAGTGTGTTTTAGGTTCACTTCAAAATAATAATAATCATAAAGTGTGTTTTGGATTAAACTTACAAACATCTAAATAGGTGTATGAGAAATGAAAAACATAGCTGTCTAAGAAAAAGATAGAGTTTATAATTGTGTTTTGATGAACGATGATAGTACAAGTAGCTTTCTTGGCCAACCCATCATTTTCGGTCCTTTTGGAGTGCCCTTACATTCATCCATTCATCATTATCCATCTATCAAAATTTTGAGATGGCTCCATCACAAAAGAATCGAAAGCAAGAGTAGGAAAAGGATGCCGGCCATTTGGAGCCCGCCCTGCATTAATTAAAAACTCTGTCCCAAAATTAGAGACGTAGCAAAAAAAACATAAACTATAAGTTCTTTTGCATTTTCTAAATATATTATATCTAAATGTATAAAAAAAACTATGTACTCAGAAAAGTCAAATCAATTTGTAAGTTAAATGAGGGTGTACTTTATTGGAAAAAACCATCCTAGGTTGAAAATTGAATGGCTTTGGTAGATGGTAGTTCAAGATTGTAATATGAATTACTCCCTCAGTTCCAAATTGTATCTCGTTTTGTCATTCCTAATTACAAAGTTTTTGTTATATATTTAGAGATACATTATGTCTAAATATATAATAAAAAGCTATAAATTTAGAAAAGCTAAAATAACTTACAATTTGAAACGGGGAGAGTTTTTTTTTTTGAAGTTTAAGAGTTGGAAAACAGATCAAAGACCATTAATCATTTCACGGTTGATAAATGGACTTTTTCCCTGTTTAAAAACAGAGAGTCATAATTTCATGAGTATTGGCCAATTAATAAGGTGCGTAATCCACATCTCATTGTTCAATGTAGATGGGATATATTTCCTGTTAGTCTTGGAAATAAAGATAAGTAGGTAGGAGTTAACACGAGATGAGTTGCCACTTCTTTCTCAAATGAAACAGATGCATGGCTTGTTCAAGTCCTAATCTTACCTCTAGAATCTATTAGGCTCTGCTGGTAACCAATGCCTGTGAGAATAAAAGAGACACAGATTTTATAGTACGAAATGCCTTCTTATTGACCTCGCAAAAAAGGAAAAAGAAAAAAAAAGTGTTTGCTTCACACTGTTTTTTTGTGATTATATGTCTACTTCAAGGGTGCTTATATTTGGTGATTGCTGGTCTTGTGACCAGACCAAGTCCTTTTCTTTGCCATTTTTTGACCAAGGACCTGGGACAGCCCCAAGTACCAACTACCAACTGCAAAGGGGTGCTTAAACATCGGCGGGCTCAATTCGATTGGAACCTTTCAGCTGTTGGAATGACAGACTAACATATACACAAGCTTCCTAATAAAAAACATATAAAGTGTGTTAAGTAGGCATCGAAAAGATAGGGTTAGGTTTTCCTTTAAAGAAAGAAGAAATAAAGCAGGGTTAGGTTGAAATGAACTTGAAACAACAGACCTGGTGAACTTGAGTTGCTATGGCAGTTGTAGACTGATTTTTTTATATAAAAAAACCATGGAGTAGTTAGCTCATGCACAATACCGGGACAAGTGGCTGACCAAATCAGCAACGGCACCCTGTTCTTAATTCTCAACAAGTATCTATTGCAAACAAACAAGCAAAGAAACATACAGCCTGACAAAAGTGTATCGATCCACTTTGTAGTAACGGACGGCGCCAAACGGGGGAGTCCCACCATGCGTGTCTGCTGTACGCCCGTGCACTTGTTTGTTCTCTTGCAGCGTTTATTCGGACACACCGTACGTGTTAAATAAAAAAATCAGGCAGTAGTGTTCGGAAGCAGCGCCCACATGTAAGATACGAACCACATGAGCCCATCCATACGAGCGACTCACCCAGCCTTCCCACCGCGCGCCCGACCACAAGCGCAGCGTGTGCCGGCCCCCAGCCCACCCCATCCCTGGGGTGCCACGTGCCCCATCTCCCCCCCCCCCACCCCGGCTCACGCGCCCCATCTCTTCATTTACGACATGAAACACTTGAATGCACATACGTCTGAAGGAGATAAAATATTTGGAACATACACATGCAATATAGTTGTGAAATATATACAACATCCAGATTAAAAACTTGTAACTTGCAACATAAAAACACTTACCGCAACATAAGATTGAAACAACTCAAATATTTGGAACATACTTTACAATGGAAAACATATGCAACACTCATATCATAACGCTTGCAACATACGTCTGAAACAAATTAAACATTTTGAACAAACACTTGCAACATGTCTCTGAAACACTTCCAACATATGCAAATAACATCATTAATCTACTTTTGCAACATCCATAGGAAACAATTACAACGTACCTTTGAAACGTTTGAAACACTTAAACGTGCATTTGCAACATAGGGGAGGGGGACTGACCCAGTCGATCTAGCCGGTGGGGTGGGGCCGGCGGCGAGCGACCACCACCAGCATCTGGCCACGCTCGTGGGTGCCCTTGGCTCGGCCGGGGACTACCCCAGGCGCCCCGTCAAGTGCGCCCAGCGGCCATCAGCAAGGGTGGCGGCGGCGAGGCATCTCGGCGGCGTTGGGGTTGGGGAATAGGCCGGGGAGGCGCTCTACTGCCAGCGGATGCGAGATAGAGAGCGAGAGATGGGGAGAGCAGAGGCAGCACGCACTGGATGGGGGCGCGACGAGGGATATCCACGGCGGGCGTGCCGTGCGACGAGCGGGCTGCGCGATGCGAGGGTCGAATCCGCGTAGATTTGGGGCACGACGAGCGGGGCGAGTGACGGGAGGGAGCAACTGTCGTGGGTGAGGCGCGCGTCGTAGGCGGGAGCGAGCAGCACCGGCGGAAGCGGCGAGGGTAAGTGTTGCGCGTGGCGTCCGGATGTACGGAAGAGCATTATCAATCAATATATTATTTATTGGGAGACAAAGAAAGGTAGAGAAATAATGCCCGGCAACTAAACCGGGTGCCGGATGATGGCATGCACTGTGTTTTGCATATTTTTTTTCTCGAAACTTTATGCATAATAGTTAGTGGCTGCAACATCCTTGATGTACCCTAACATTTAACACTAGGTTCTCTTTCGGGATGTCCCTATTTAATCTCGGACGTGCGTGACTGGAGATTTTGTTCGAATTCTGCGAAATCCTACGCCTTCGGCGCCAAAGACAGCTACCTGTCGCCTTGCCCCCCGTCTTTTGTCATATCCTGTGGCCTTTTGCGCCTTAGCGCACTTGTGCCTTCCTTTGGCGAAAGGCGGGCATCTAGTGC